AATGCATAGAACAGTGGACTGGGATGGAGACTGGTTTACATCATTTCGATGCCACTTTTTTTGCACAACATGACATTAAGATAGCAGAATAATCTTATGTTTGCCGTGCTTTGTGACTTACAGTTAAAATAGATAGTAAAGTTCAGTTATTATTTTTCTATTATACTGCTCTAATGCTTAGCTTCATTGAGGACTGAGGGAGTTTCAGCAGTATAAAATCAATAAAAATTAGAGGAGAGATAAACCTCTGGTGTTAAGCAGAGCGAGCTGCAAAACAGGGCTACTCGTGCACAGGAAATTTTGTCATTTCAAAATGTGGTTTCACTCTGAATCAGAACAAAACCCCAGAAGTTTCCAAATTCCCCTTGAAATGGAAATTCTGAGAATTTCAGTTTGGAAATGCTGAAGCAGAGTGTTTCTGGTACCCAGCTCCTGCCCCGGGTCCGCGGGAGGAAATGGGCTTTCTTGTCAGCCTCCATCAGCTTCCCTGAGCTGGTGGGAGGTTTCCTGGAGACACCCGTGACATTGGAGGCTCCTTGGGAGCTGCTCCAAGGACTGCAGAGCCCTGAGAATTGCTCTGGGAGGAGACTCAGTTTCCCTTCTTGCAACAGGCTGCAATTCCTTCTCCTGAAGGAACTTACCCATGGTTGGGACCACAGCTGTAGAGCCCATCATTGACAGGGTCATGCTTTCTTTGGGTATGAATGCTGCAGCTTGAAAAGTAAAATCTGTTTAAAGAACATCTTGCCTGATTTTCTTCTGCAGGACTCGTGCAGGAAATAATTATAGGATGATTAAAAACAGGGTGCTGGTCACCTGGAAATGACTGTGGAAGTTGCAGCTTTCTGGAGCACTGAAGTCTTTGCTCACAGCCTTTCAAACCCCTCAGGTGAGCAGATATTAGCCCTGACAGGCTGCTATCCCTATAGAAGAAGTGAAAACAAATCTGGAAAAATAGGTAGAGAGCTGAAATATCAAGACTGTGTCCTGACCCCCTGCACTCTGTCTTCAGCCTTGCTTTATATCTACCCTATAAGTTGTCAGACAAGGGCCATTTTTGGCCATCAAACAGTGCCTGTTCATGAGGTCCCCACTTATAATTGTTTCTCATTTGTCACAGCAAGCAAAAATACATCTTAATTTGAATTTAAGGAATTATTTACTATATGGTAGGCATGTTATATGGGCAATTATTTTATAGGGTGTCTTCAGTGATGCATTTACAGAAGAGAGTGATAGATTGTGCAAGTCTTGATGTCTTCTGGGGTTGGGATTCAGCTCACTGATGGGGACATCTTACAAAAGGCATCTGCTCGTGCAAAAATTTTTCACGCTGGACACAAGTGTCACTTGTCTTCCAGCTGTCAGTGCAGACAACAGGCCTCTTTGAGCAACTCTACTGTCCTGGGACTGTAGAATCTACTGTTTCCTGTTATGTGTATTGGAGATATTGTTGCCAGAGCTCCCCTTGCCCAAATATTTTCAGTTTCCTCCAGCATTTTAAAGGTTAAGTGTGATTTTAGATGTGTGCTGTGAGCTTTAGCACAGTAATAGACCTTCCTGCAATGCAGTTTTACCTTCCATTAAAATAAGAGGGTAAAGGAAAATAAACGTTGCATTTTCCAAAGTATAGATCGTTAAGAAGAAAGACAAGTTGTCTTGCAAACATCCAGGATGATTTATTATAATACTTTATCAGTCATTTCATACAGAGAAGATCAAAGTTTTCAAAATAAAGATACCAAATGCTGCACCCCACATAAAACAGTGACCATGCACAAGGAGGGGTGCAGCAGCGGTGACAGTGGCCCTTGGCTACAACCTCTTCCAAGGTGGAGTTTTGCTCCCAGGGAAAAACTCCCAGATCTCACTGATTTCAAAACTCTATGCATCATGTTGAAGGATCAGGTTTTAGAAATGGTCCTTTCCTCAAAGGACCAACGAGCCCTGCTGAGAGGTGAGGTACAGTTTGACTGAGAGTTACAGCTTCCTACTGAAGTGTGTCTGCAGCTCCTGGGCTCCCCATAACCTGAATTCAAACTCAGCGCATAGACATGACATATTAAGGAAGGTTAAGGAAATAAACTTCCCAAGGAAAGGGAAATTAAGGAAAATTAAACTCTATACTAGCCCTCCAGTCCATATCCCACCACGGCATGTAAGTCCCTTATCAGCAAAATGTCTTCCTTAATAGTGGGCTTTCCAAGGAAAAAAGGTAGAATGTGGAGAGAGAGCTCACGAGCCAACCTGGCTCAGGGAGAGGTGGAGAAAAGTCTGGAGCAGTAGAAGACATATGACTCTGCCCTGCTTATCTGGATAACTCCGGGTAGAAGTGCGAATGCAAAAACAAGATTTCATTTTCTCCAGTGAAATGTCCTGAGCAGGACAAGCTGCGTCAGACTAACTAACTGCAGTGCTTAGTGGAGTTCTTTAGCAATAAGTAACACACATCAAAGAGTCAAAGCAGAATTGCTTAGTGCTGCTGTTTGCAGCTTCCAGAGCGGCTGACAGGTGTGAAAACCTATCTATCACATAAATACAGGTTGTCATCTGTTCCCATACAAAATAACAGCGTATAATAAACCATTACACACCCATCTTTATAAAGATTTGTATTATGAATTAGCCCTATTCCAACAGGAATAAAAAAAAAAACACCGAACACATAAATAAAAAGGCTACGAAGTAAGAATAACTCAATGGAAATATAAGCCACTAAAAATTAATGGTACACACACACTCTATCACTAAATAGAAAACTACACTGGCATCTAATGCCTCCCCTGCTGAATTATAAGAAAGGGTTTCAGCCCATCTGTCTTTAGATATATTGCAGAATGCTGTCATTCAGAGTGACAGCAGAATACACAGAATATGTAAGTACCTATAGCTGTAGCTAAGTACTATAGGCATAGCTATACCAATGTACCATAGTATGAAAGTACCTATAGCTAATTTGGTTAATTTGGTCATCACATAAAGTTAAAGGAGAGAAATAGGCACCTTTAGAACATGCACCATTGTGCTTATATATATATGCCTCAGATTAGATGCCTGCATTTTGTCAGATGGCCCCATCCTTCCATATTGGAGCTGGCTGCAGAGGCAGGTACCTACTCAAAGCTCATAATTTCCAGTAACATATGTACATGTCAAATATTGTGAATGCTGAAGCCACGTTTAACTTTGTTCTTAAATGCCCTTGCGCTATGCTCTTTGGTGCTCTGCCACTATAAAAGGAGCTGTGAAATCCATCAGCTGCTGCAATCTCCTTGTTCTGGATAAAAAACATAGCAACTCTTCTGTGGAAGGGGGTAGCTGGGAAAAGGTGGGGAGTGAAGACTGTTGCATCTGTATATTAAACCATGTGAGGGGACTATACAGATTCTTAGCTTTTGTGCAGAAGGTAGATGGGCTTAACGTCATTTTCCAAGAGAAACATTGCGAAGAGGAGAAAAGTGTGGCTGGGTTTGACCTGCATGTAAAGAGAAGGGATGAGGGAAACCAGTGCCCAGCTTCTCTCACCATGACTTCTCCTGCCACTGTCTAAGGAGGGTGGACTTCCACATGCCTGGGCCAGTGGTGTCTATGTGCACCGGGTACCTTGCAGGAGGTTGCAGTTGTGCATGCGCTATTAAGCAGGAGGCAGAAAGATGTTTTGGGGAAGCTGAGGTCTTTCTCTGCCTATCAATAACTACGTGCACACGCTCCACCCATATCCTGGAGGCAGAAGATTATGCTTCCTCTAGTAGCGTATATTTTCTGTCTCCTTCACACATTCTGTTTGAGTCTCTGGGCTTCCTCTTCGTTTGCTGATGCTGGTCTAGGAAGTGCTGGTGCAATCTCGTTTCTCTTGACATTTGATTCACTGCTGATCCCCTCCTCACCTGTTGCAAGGCATTGATTCACAAGCTTAGGTCTGAATGCGGCAACTCACTGAATGGTCTTTACTACAGAAAAGACATGTTTTTTCTGCGTTTACTGTGACATTTACTATATTTACTGTTACACTCTACGTTCATGTCTTCTTCGGGAGACACCATGTAAGGTCGCAGTTACACTAAGGCTGGAAGGGACCTCTGGGATCAGCTGTTCCATTGTCACCTGAGGGTCAATGATAACTTTTGGCCTCTCATGTTCCACAACAGCTCGGGCAGTCTGCAGCACGGCAGACCATCTTCATCACTAAAATATGCTTCAAAGTGGCATCTATGTGTTCTGTCACATTGCCCTGTTGAAAACTGGCAAAAAGCCCAGTTGTTGTGGTTCCACAAATTCCTTCCCTCCTCTTTTTGGAGGAAAATTCAGTGGAGAAGCAGAACCCATTCTTAACTAGCAAGGGACCATGGAGGAGGATTAGCAAAGAGGAAAGAAGAACCGTGGAGTGTAAAATAGGGACATCTTGAAGTAGGTTGAAGTAGGGACAACCTTAAGTAGGTTGTGGAGCCTATGAACAGGAACAGTCGTGGGGCATCCGAGTGTAACAACAGAAACAGCAAAGAGCTCAGACCAAAACTAGTCTGAAGCAGAAAGCGGTCATGACGAATGAGAAATCAGAAGGATGAAGAGAGAAGAATTATGTAGTTGTGGTGGCAGATGCTCCATCAGACTTCCCACAGATTAAGCAGAAAGAGAAACATTGACTGTGTAATGTATCGGAAACCAACATATTTGCATAATTAACCCTGACTTCCTCACTGGATCCATTTTCCCCCTGTATTTGAACTGTAATTCTCAGTTACACACTGGCAGGGACAAAGCAATTTAATGTTGTGCTTTTCAATTTCAAAAGCTCCGAATCCTCCTTTTCTTGTGCTCTATTTAGTAGCTGAACCAGATGATCTAAAATCTAGGGACATTCACTTAATACCCATGATGGTAGCAAGAAAGGCAGACAGTGCTGTATTGAAATGCCTGATCCAGTTAATAGCTTGGGAAACTTTTTTTTAGATTTAGCATTTTCCTAGTTCCTTCCTACTTACCATATATTGTTTGGTGAGTCACAGAAAGATGGCAGGAATGATAAGCAGAACAAAAAAGATAGCTGTTAAAACACAAAATCAGCACAGTTAGCACCTGGCATTATCTGCAGTGCTCCCTAGGAATTACCATGATTACCCCAACTAGGAAAAACAGTGGTGAGAAAAGGGAAGGAGCTCATCTTGACCCTACACCAGGAGGCAATCCCTCTTCCATAATGCCCCACTGCTCTGCTCCTTGGGGCAAATAGGACACCCTCAGTAAAGAGCAAGTCTCTGGGAAATTAGAGAACAACCATGGCCAAATGGTCAATGTCTACGGATGCTTTGGTGTCTGGCAGAGCTTGCAGTACTCCTGCCTTTCCTTTACCTCACTCCGTTATTCCTGCATATTATAATGTGTGCTACAAATGTCAGCGGGCTCCAGCTGGAATCCAGAGCCCTTGCTTGAAGTTTTGAACATATGCAGAGCGAGAGACTATTTCTAATTTAGCAGCTAAAGGTTGAATTGAAGATGGGGAAGGAGGAATAGAAAAATCATTTCCAATTGATCTAAATGTACCAGTTTATCTGCAAGGAAATATTTTATTTTCTCACCCTCTTCAACCTCTTTGAATAGATGAAAGAAGCAAAGCATTTAAATTATTACTATTTTTTTCCAGTTTAAATTATTCACTGAACTCACACAAAGTTTTGGAGACAGATCTCGAACAGAATTCCAGTTAAAAAACTACATTTTGATCTATTGATCTGAAAAAAGTCATCACAATCTGCTCTTATATCCATCATATTTCCTTTGAAAAAAAAAAAGTCTTTATAAAAAGCCTAAGTACTTAAACAGCCTCTATTTACACTTCGTCTACTGACTTTTCACCCAACATATGGGCATAGATGTGCCTTGCAGCATGTTTATTAGCTTTTATAGCAGAGTTGGGTCTCTTCAGGAGCACAGCAAATTGAAAGGCAAAGGCACTGATGTGAGGGATAGGGCGAAGCCCAAGTGCAGTTAGCAGGATGGCATACCTGTCACCAGCTGTATCAGAGATGAGGGAAAGGATGGATGAATTGTACCTACAAAGAGAGAGAAATTCACGATTTTCCATCAATTTACTGCTCCAGGCAGAAGATCCTGCTCACTTTAGAAACAAGTCAGGGATGAGGGTAGAGCCAAGATGGGTCTGGGAGGTCTTTCTCTGCCATGTTTTATTTCAGGGGACTGGAATTATTATCCTTTAGAAATCAATGCAAAAATGGCCTATTTCATCATCTTATCTAATTTGTTTTTCATCATTCTTATTTTAATATTTCAACTATTTATAATCTCTCACCATTTAATAGGTTATACCACTTTTATCCTGATAGACCTAAGTGAACTTAGAAATGGCAAAAAAGGATTACCCTTCAGGAGGAAGAAAAAGCAAAAAAAACAAATTGTGATTGATTGCCATACCTGAAACACTCTGAACTAGACGCCACTGGGAAACAGATGGATCTACAAAGAAGGGGAGAAAATGTCAGTTAAGGCTGACAAGGTGTCCTGCGAGAAATGTGGCTCATTTCTACAGTCAGAATAGCAACTAGAGGTAAAGATGGCCAAGCTGCACCACAGCATTGCGGTTATGAGTCATAAGGGCTGGTCCTTATCTCATCTAGAACTGGCCTCCAAGATAGTCATTCGGGCTCTGTCATAGTCACTGGGGAGAAACAGGTCCTTATAGGGTGCAGTTCAGCTCATCCTAAGCCAGACCTCCAAAACAGGCCAGCTAACATCATAGCACCTTTCACATCTGCTCCTCTATGTTGTTTATCAAGGCAGCCTAGCTCAGATGCAGACGTCTGGGCAGTAGGTGTCTACAGCGATGCAAGATAATTTTTTCCTTAAAAGCCTAAGTCCTGTTGACCTCATTTTTTCCACTCTCATTTAGTAGGATTGAGTCATCTAAGAGCTTGCATTGATCTGGACCATTTGGATTGGCTTTCATTTGTATGAAATGGGGCACACAGCTATTTTGCAGGAGGTTGGGAGAGTCATGCAAGATTAAGAAGGGTAGAGGTGATGGATGGTTGGGTTCTACCATCTGCAACAGCTCTGCTTGCAATCAGAGGACCTCAGTGCTATCACAGACGCTTGGGCTCTCTCCACATGTCTTTCAGTGGTTTCCATTGAACTGGTGCAGTGTAGAGTTAGGGGAGATTGTGGAGTCTCCTCTGGAGATCTTCCAAACCCGCTTGGATGCAGTCCTGTGCCACGTGCTCTAGGTGACCCTGCGTGTGCAGGGGGTGGACTGGATGATCTCTAGAGGTCCCTTCCAACCTTAAGCATTCTATGATTCTATGAGATGCCATCAGAGAAGGTGTTGTCCCAAAAACAGGTTCTTAACCCAGCATGCAAAGAGCCAATAGACAAGATATTTGTTCAGAGATGGGTGCTAAGTGGTGACTCCACAGGGCTATCACACTTTCTCTTATCTCTGTTTGGTGTTTATTTACACTATGATCAGAAATACTTTACACAAATCTCTCCATCCCATAGCCCAGCCAGGCTGTTTCCTTAGACCAATGTACAGAGTTGGAAGGTTCTGGCCCCTGCATGGCCACAATGTGGGCTACCATCTTACCTGACTGGGTAATCTGTGATGGCCTCTTATCGTTGTAGCTGCTGTCATTGGTGCACTGAATGTCAAGGGGGGTCCAGATGATATTGCCATTCTCCTTCTTGCATATGCGGGTGCCCGAGGTGGGAGGGCGCTTGTCATAACCGTTCTGACACTTGAAATGTAGCACTTGCCCCACGTTATAGGCTTTTTTCTTTCTTATGGAGGCATGCGGAAAAGTCTTGGGCATCCCACAGAAAGCTGTGAAATCATGAGGCAGTCCACAGTCAGGCAGATAGATCTAACCTTTAGTTTTCATTTGTGAAAAAGAAGGTTTTTATTAGTAGGAGGCATAGACAAGCAGGGAATAGCAAACTTTCCTAATTCCTTGTGAGGGTGTCAAGCAGTCATCTGCTTACACCAAATCACTTGTTTAACAAAACAAATATTATAGCAAGATTTTCTTTCTTTATGACAACAAAAAGAAATCCTGAGGGTGAAATGAGCATGGAAATAAGCAGGATAAGATTATAATAATGTATGTGCTCTAGCTTACCTTTCCGGTCAAAGTCTGGAATATTTTCTTGTTTCTTGGGTGCAGGGCTCTGGGTTTTCCTTTCTGGCTTCTGTGTAAAGTCTAACTCAACCACGGGAGCCGTCGACAACAAAATGTTCTTGTCTGTGAGAGAAGTTTTATTTGCTGAATTACAGGACAAGCAGAAAAACGAAGTCAGAGCACCTCAACTTTTATCGGGTCTCTCTAATAGGATCCCTCTTATAAGCTTTATTATGCAGAGGTAAATAGGAAAGATCATTTGTTATGGCAATGTCCAGACGCATCTTATAATGACTAACTCATTGGAAAAACACTGCTGCAGTGTGCAGTAACAGGACAATAATTACTTACCTACACATTCGAAGTTCGTGTAGAACCAATCAGCAATCCCATCTATACTTTTACACTGAATTCCCAGGTAGTGCCCCTTTCTTCTCTTATAGCCATCATCACAGTCATAATAGAGTTTGGTCCCCAGGGGATATGCTTCAAAAACATCGGCAAATTCAATTCTCTGCAGAGATGGGCATTCTTCTGCAAACAAAAAACCCATAAACATGACACCGTTTACCTTATTCACCAAGGACTTCCTACAGGTTTCTGTCTCATCAGTATCAGATCATATCCAGAGATCAGTTAAGTATCCATGAAGAAACCAATGCTCTCAATCAAAGGGATGCAATCAAACCAGTTTCATAAATGGTGATGATGTTAGAGAGGTAGAAGAAGGGGATTTGAAGAGATTCACCTAGGCTGCCTAAGGGAGTTCAAATTCAGGCCCAGAGGGAAACCAGCCAAGTGAAACACAACAAACACATGACAAAGACGAGCAGCAAGTTTTGCTTTGAAGAGATTATGTATGAGAACTAAGGAGGCCATAACACTGAAGCTGGGAAAGAAATGACTCCCACTTGCAAGTTTCCCTCTAAAGAGCTCTTCAAGGGCATAGCTCCTAGAGCTATCAACTGGGATAGTCTCAGACCAAAGGTAGACATGACTACTCCTATAGAAGAAAGTCATGAAGAAAATTATAAAGTGGGGTATCTGAAAGGCACCTGAGTGAAATGGAATGCACAGCCAAGAGCTGACAGCACCATGTGCTCTGAACACCTGGGTCTATCTGTGGCTCAGCCCGGTTGAAATGAAGGAAAACCTGCGGTCATTCGAGCTAACATGCAGTACAAGTTCAGCTTCATCCTCCTCCTGATAGAGAGATGCTCACACCTGCAGAAGGGTCAATCTGGATGTCCTGTGAAGCTTTGGTTCTCTCTAAGACAAGGAGATGCTTAGATTCTGGTGAAATTATTGGTTATTTTAAGCCCACATTTTTTTTCTTTATTTTAAATTTAGACCAATCTCCGCCTCCCGCAAGACTTCTTCACATAACAGAAGTTGCCATTGATTTTGTGAGTATAATTTTGTGCAAAGAAAATACTGGGGAGAAGACATAGCCTTGGGAGTTTCTGCCCTGAATGAAATGCAAACTTATACTCTTACAGTTATACAACTTTGTATATACAGCTATAACTAAATAAATATAGTTATATATATAATTTATATATTTATATAGTTATACAAAAGCCATACATTCTTATAGTTAGGAGGGACTGATTCCAGTCAGTTGTATTTCTTCTCGAGAAGAAAGGGTGCTGAAACCTGGAGAGGCTGCAGCAGCTGGACTGGTGTTTGGAGGCACCAGGCATTGCTGCTTGCTCCTGCCCTAGTCGACCAGAGGCAGTTGTTGAGTCCTTTCTTTCTGCACCCACTAAGTCGGAAATATGCAGCACTACCAACATTTGCTTAATGAAGCTGTACCAGATTATACTGTAAAGATGTAACCTGCATTAAAGACTACAGCCTTAATTCTATGGTAAGCAAAACGAGGTCATTAAAAGTTGCAATCATCCAAAAGCAAACATCGAAAAGACGAGTAGATTTGCAATTCAGACTGAGTGCGCCGAAGAGCATCTCACTGTGAAATAAGTTATGAATTAAGTTGGATCATTTCAGTGCACTTGAGAAGTCAGCAGAAGCTGAGCTGGAGACGCAGACGCTGATGAAAGCACTATTTAATGATTATGTAAGGTCTAAAGGCTGAGCAATTCACAGATAAAACATTCTGTTTGCATCAGGACTGGCATTCAGGAGCTTTGGGTGCATGATCCATGGCCCTTGAAGCTTATGCATAATAGTCACAGCTCTTATGAGCAAAATTTCTTAGTGTCTTCTGTATCTTGTGTCTTCACATTTTCTGTAACCATAATTAATGCAGCCTTGGTAGCCATCAAGAGTGACTGTGAATTCCTGATCGTTGTTCGTATAGTGGCATCTGCCCTTGACTCCTAAGCTGCCTTCTCCTTGAAACAAAGCCATTCCTTGCTGCCAGTAATGCAATCAATGATTTCCAGACCTGGTCCTGCAATGCCCTTTCCTTTCAGAATCATCTTGCTTTAATATTTTCTGCCCTTTTTCCTTTTTTATTATCTTGCCACTTAATAAAAGTCACAGAGTTTGAAGAGGGCACCAATAAAAAATGTTGTGAGCTGCTTAACAGCTAAGCTGCTTAAGGACTATTTCAATCCCCTTGTATTTTTGTGTTATCAAAGGATTTACCTCCTAAACAGTATCAGACTGTGGCTTTGACAGAAGCTACTGTACCCGAAATAGTTAACCACATGGTTTACCACAGACTGTCAGGGTGATTAAAATTAAAGAGTTATCAGATTAGTAGCAGGCTGCGAGCATGTACTCTCACTTTCCCTGAAAGCTAAAAGCATGTTTCCCTCAAGACTTCAAAAGGCTTCTTTGAAGCAGACTGCAGATCTGAATCTCAGCGAGAGACATTCAAACCTACAAGTCTTTACTGTCTTCTTAAGAAAACCCACAGCGTTTAGCCTATTCATCACAAAGGGCAACTGTTGTTTTAATCAATGATCAAATGAAGTTAGGGTTCTTCTGAACTTACACACATCAGATAAGAAATGCAGGGAGATGATGTGCATAGGGTATTGTGAACAATACCTGACTTTTTTGCCAGTCACAATAGTATTCTGCCTTCATCCATGCTGCAGGTGGATCTTGTTTAACACTCCTGGATCTGGCCTCTTCATTTCATCCGTATCACTCAAAGTCCTGTCTTTTAACACCTGAACCTTTCTTTTCTGGCCTTCACGATCATATTCCTGATTCCAGCAACCATTTAGAAAGATGAATCTCTTATACTTCCTTAATATCATAGTGTCCTTCTGTTTACTTTCCTCTTTTGACTTCTACTGCTTCACTGCGGCATCAAATGTTTTATTCTCATTTTCAAGGACCTACTCAACTCATCGACTTACATATTCTATCAAAATATTGGCTTCTCTTTGGATGCAAGGCTTCATCACCCACACATTTGGTATGGAAATCACCAGCTTTTGGGCTACTCATGTGGTGCCTCTCACACTGGCAGTTGTCTTGCACAAATACATGCATTTCAAGGTAGCCAGTATCATTATTCATCTTAACTGTCTTTCTCCTTTTGATATTCTCATTTCTCTGCATATCAGTAGATTTTGTCTCTAATGCATTCCCAGAAATTTTGGTGCTGCTTTTCAAATGTTATCATATAGCAGATGGAGAAATTAGAAGGAAATTAGGAGGAGACTTGTAACAGATAATCAACATCTGTGGAATATATGACATAAAAGTAGTTATTGCATCTTTTGTTGTGGTGCCTGACAACATCCTGGGATGTCTGGAATTGGGCACATGAATTATACTTTGCCTGTGTGAGTTCTTGACAGGTACTACATGAAGCTTAATTGCTTTTGGTGACTGATGCATGATAGAAAGTTAGATGGCAATTCTGTCATTTCTGCTTCTGCGATATACGTGTGTAGTCTCTAATCTGGTATTCTATCATCTGATATTCAATCTATCTAGTCCATCATCTCTTGTACTAGGGTAACATTTAGGGGGTAGTTAAGCATGGAAAGGAAACAGTGTGCTCAAAATAAAGGAAAATATGTTAATATAAAGGAAAATGTGTTTACATTTTATCAAGTCTCTAGAATCAAAATTCTAGTTTGTGCTGCATTTCCTTCTAATTCTTGTTTAGCCACATGTGACTTGAAGATCAGAAGATTTAGGTCACTTGCATGATTTCATGGGTAAAACAGACCAGTGAATTTTACCCAGGTACTTTTGTACTGAGTTCAATAATTTCTAGTTAACCGAAGCATATCTGCCTATGGGTAATTTCATTTATTTACAATGCCTGAAAGTTTGGGGAATCTCATACCAGGGCAATAGCAGTATGCGGGCAACTTTATCCTAAACATTATGACTATACAATATAAAAAGACTCTTAACTCTCCTTTAAGAAGCTATTTTCTTCTAACTTGTATATATTGGCCTAAAAATTGTTGTGCTGCAGCTGCCTTCCTTGTTTCCTTTTGCCATTATCAGCTGCAGCACATCATACACACAAGCAATGAGGCTGAGATGACAAGGAGATTGGTTCTAGAGAGTGTGCCATGCCATCGTTAGAGACATGGCAAAGACTGAGTGTCTCACCAAATTTAAGGAAGATGAACCCCATGGAGCTACAGAAATCAAGGGCTTTTCAATGCAATGCAAAATAGCCACTAAAATTCTCACAGTAACTACGACAAAGGTCTTTCAGTACCCTGACCAATTTGAAAAACAGAACATTAATTGCTGCATGTCTGTTTTACCCAGCTGAATCCCCTTGAACTTGCCACCACTTACTGTCCCCACAGGCTGGGCACAAAGCCTTGGGCTGCTCTCAGCATCTGACGTCTTTGCGTAGGCTCAGAGGACAGGAAACCATTAGCTAAGTCACCATCAGTTCTTTCAGTCCTTGGGTTTCTCCCTGCGGTTTCCCATTCAAATGCATAACTAAACCAATCAAAACTTTGGTTGTAGAGGATGTACTGGCAATATTAGGATTTTTGAAGATCGCCTGTGTATTTCTCTTTAGTGTCTGAGCTGGAAGATTAGTTTTAGGTAAGGCATCAGAAGTTTCTAACAGGTATTTTTAGTATTAGGAAAAGACAGACAATGAATCATGCCATGGTAACCCTAACTCAGAATTTCCTCTGCCTCATGACTCTGTGTCACCAGCTTTGATATTGTTCTGATGTAAAGTTAAAACTCTAAGATGCAAAAATAGGATTGTTTTTCCTAAATACAAAGCTAGTATGAAAGGAGCAGCAGGAAACTGTCTGCTCTGAAGATGTGATTAGAAGCAGTGAAAGAAACAAGCAGCTCATGCACCTGCCTACTTCAGAAATGAAAATAACTCTTCCCCAGAGATACCAAGAAACCAAATGGTCTCAAAATGAAGATTCCTCCAGATGTACCTGAAAAGCGAGTGCACCCTGGGGGTCATATGCAGTCAGAAACTAGCTGCTCTCTAAATAGATTGTGTATCTTGAAGACAAAACTGATATGGATGAAGAGAAGGAATCGATACCAGCAACTGGACTCAAAGGGTAACAAACTCGTTCTAACTTCAAAACTTTTTCCAA